GCAGAACATCCAGATTCAGCCAGAGTTTCATTCCATACAGCAGTGATGGCGAACCTTTTAGAGACCAAGTGCCCAAACTGCAACCCAAAACCCACTTATTTATCGCAAAGTGCCAGGGCCGCCTCAGCATTGTGGTGCCCTGGGGGGGGGCAGGGAGGCGTCTGTGAGTGCCGCCTCTGGCACGCAAAAACGGGGGGGGGCGCAAAAATGGGCCACCGTGCTGCAAGGCGCACAAACGGCCGAGCCTTGGGGTGCAGATACAAGGCACTGCACCATGCAAGAACAGGGCAGGGCTAGTGAGTATCATGCAGGCACTAGCCCTGCCCCATTTGCAGCGCGTGTGTGCTCGCGGCCCCGTGCACGCATGCACGCATGTAAAATGCTTCCCCCTCCCTTTTCTTCCAGTCCACCAATCAACAATGGTTGGTGACCTCTGCTCTACCACCTCTACTCGAGCTTGCTAGTCGGCCGCTTCGCCTCCTTTGTGCTGGGCGGGGCTCCTGCTCGGGGCGGCGGTGGCGGCCTGATGGACCTGCTGGCGGCGGTGGTGCGCGTGCCAACAAAGAGGGCTCTGAGTGCCGCCTCTGGCACGCGTGCCATAGGTTCGCCACCACTGCCATACAGCATTAACCTTGCAAACTCTCAAGCTTCCTCCTTCCGTTATATATTCAAGATGGACAGTATTTAATATTTATTTGCTATATATATGTAGGGATGTGGGTCTATGCATACGTTGTTCATAGTATGTTTAGGTGTGCGTCATGTATGTGTTTCACTTTGAGAGCGGGCGACTAAATTTCATTTTTGATGTGCCCACAGTAAAAAAAATGACAATAAAGGTTATCTTATCTTATATCTTATCTTATTATCTTATCTTATTATCTTATCATCTTATCTTATCTTCTCATCTTATCTTCTCATCTTATTTTATCTTCTCATCTCATCTTATCATCTTATCTTATCCTATCACCTTATCTTATCATCTTATCCTATCATCTTATCATCTTATCTTATCTTATATCTTATCTTATCTTATGTAAGTTGAGGATTACCTGTATGGCCCAAACTTGATTTTTTTTTTTTCTCCTCTCATACCCTGTACAGGCAGCAGAGGTCTCCTCGGAGCCGTTGTGTTAGTTGTGTGGCATTGCTCAGCCTAAGTGACTATCCGTCAAGGCAACCGATGCTGTTTATAAGTGTGTCTGTGTATATATATATGTATATATGTAGAAGGACACATTCCAGACACTCCTTCCATGTTTCCAGGGATTTTTCTCCAAATAGGTTTGGGACAGAACATTTTTCTCCTCTGATCTCATAGAGTGTCTACCCTTTGACCAAGGGGGGGGGAATCATATTTGGAAGCTGAGAACTTCCTGATATTGCTGCAATGCATCTTATGAACGTGACTCTTTGGTTCTGTCTCTGTCTCTTCCCGTCGGTGACAGGCTTTCTATAGTTGGAAATGCTCAAATCCCGAAAAGCGTGACTGGTTCACTGTGATTTTAATCATCGGTTTATGTTTAATTTCCCCAATAAATCGGACGAGAAATATTTATGAGAGTTACTTGAGTCCAGTGGTTAGAAATAAGGAGATTGTGTGTTCTAGTCCCGCCTTAGGCCTGAAAGCCAACGGGGTGACTTTAGGCCAGGAGACTGTGAATCCTAGTTCTGTCTTAAGTATGAAACGTGGCTGGGTGATTTTGGGTTCAATCACTGGGAGACGGTGAGTTCTAGTCCAGCCTTAGGCATGAAAGCCAGCTGGGTGAATTTAGGCCAGTCGTCAGGAGACTGGGAATCCTAGTTCTGTCTTAAGCAGGAAAGCCATCTGGGTGACTTTGGGCCAATCACCAGGAGACGGTGAATTCTAGTTCTATCTTAAGTATGAAACATGGCTGGGTGACTTTAGACCAGTCGTCAGGAGACTGTGAAACCTAGTTCTGTCTTAAGCAGAAAAGCCATCTGGGTGACTTTGGGCCAATCACCAGGAGACGGTGAATTCTAGTTCTATCTTAAGTATGAATTCTAGTCTTAAGTGACTAACATGGCTGGATGACTTTTGGTCCAGTCACCGGGAGACAGTGAATTCTAGTCCAGCCTTAGGCATGAAAGCCAGCTGGGTGAATTTAGGCCAGTCTCAGTCGTCAGGAGACTGGGAATCCTAGTTCTGTTTTAAGCAGGAAAGCTGGCTGGTAACTTTAGGCCAGTCACCAGGAGACGGTGAGTTCTAGTCCCGCCTTAGGCATGAAAGCCAGCTGGTTGACTTTGGGCCAATCACCAGGAGACGGTGAGTTCTAGTCCCGCCTTAGGCATGAAAGCCGGCTGGGTACTTTTGGTCCAATCACCAGGAGACGGTGAGTTCTAGTCCCGCCCTAGGCACGAAAGCCATCTGGGTGACTTTGGGCCAAAAGCGACCTAGGAGCGTGTTTCACACTTACGACCATCGCAGCATCCCCATGGTCATGGGGTCGAAATTGAGACGCTTGGCAGCCGGCTCATACTTACGACGGTCGCCGTGTCCCCCGGGATCACGGGATCCCCCTTTTGCGACCTTCTGACAAGCAAAGGTCAGCGGGGAAGCCAGACTCACTTAACGACCGTGTGGCTAACTTAGCAGCTGTGGGGGAAAAACGTCGTAAAATGAGGGGACACAATTACACGTCGGTTGCCAATCGTCTGCATTTTGATCACGTGGCCACGAGGATCCTGCGACGGGTCGTTAAGTGTGAACAACGGTCACCAAGCCACTTTTCTCAGTGCCGTTGAAACTTCGGTCGCTAAACGAATGGTTGTGAATCTAGGACAGGGGTCTTCAAACGTGGCCCCTTCATGACTTGCGGACTTCAACTCCCAGAATTCCTGAGCCAGCATGGGGGAACTATGGCCCCTTCATGACTCGTGGACTTCAACTCCCAGAATTCCTCAGCCAGCATGGGGGAACTATGGCCCCTTCATGACTTGAGGACTTCAACTCCCAGAATTCCTCGGCCAGCGTGGGGGAACTATGGCCCCTTCATGACTTGAGGACTTCAACTCCCAGAATTCCNAGCCAGCGTGGGGGAACTATGGCCCCTTCATGACTTGAGGACTTCAACTCCCAGAATTCCTCAGCCAGCATGGGGGAACTATGTCCCCTTCATGATTGCAGACTTCAACTCCCAGAATTCCTCAGCCAGCATGGGGGAACTATGGCCCCCTCATGACTCGTGGACTTCAACTCCCAGAATTCCTCAGCCATCATGGGGGAACTATGGCCCCTTCATGACTTGCGGACTTCAACTCCCAGAATTCCTCAGCCAGCCATGCCTGTTTTTTTTTTTTTCTCTTACGTCCTCTAGTGGAGAGATTGCATAGGAAGGGATTACAAGAGAGTAAGCTATGCTGGCTGAGGAATTCTGGGAGTTGAAGTCCACACGTCTTAAAGTTGTCACATTTGAAGACCCCAATCTAGGACTAAATGAAGTCTAAATGCATTTTCCCCCCTCTCCTAGGCAGTATGCTAGGGATACGTGAATGCGGTTCGCAGAAAACTGTCGTCCCTCTGCTTGAACTGGCTGATCGGAACATTCCAGAAATGGTTTATACGTTTCCGGAAATAGGCCTTTTGGGACTGGAAGTGGGTTCACGGTCTCCCAAGATTAGAGCCACATCTGGAGGTTTTTACTCTGCAGAAATGTCTTAAGCCACCCTTGAAATGCTTGGGTCGTCTGTCGGGAGGAGAAGCGTTTCATGAACCAGCTATTTATTTTGCACAAAGCGACACTGTCCTTTGGATTCACACCCAGCCTCTTTTTTTTAGGTGCGCTTTGCGTGTCACAACTAGCCAGCCGTATATAACCCCCAGCTGACCCTCTTAACCAACATTTTTTTTCCCTTCAGAGTTTGTGGTAGGCCAATTTGGGGCTCAGTTGTCGTAAGCTGAGGACGGCCTGTAGTAGTAGTAGTAGCAGCAGCAGCAGCAGCAGCAGCAACAACAACAACAACAACAATAATAATAATAAAGTTGGAAGTGACCTTGGAGGTCATCTAGTCCAACCCCCTGCTCAGGCAGGAAACCCTATACCATTTCGGACAAAGGGCTGTCCAGTCTCTTCTTAAAAACTTCCAGGGTTGGAGCATTCACCACTTCTGGAGGCAAGTTGTTCCACCGGTTAATATGATGATGATGATGATGATGATGATGATGATGATGATGATGATGGGTTAATATGATGATGATGATGATGATGATGATGATGGATGATGAGAAGGAGGAGGAGAAGAAGAAGAAGAAGTAGTAGTAGTAGTAGTAGTAGTAGTAGTAGTTAGAAGGGAGCTTGGAGGTCATCTAGTCCAACCCCCTGATCAGGCAGGAAACCCTATACCATTTCAGACAAATGGCTGTCCAGTCTCTTCTTAAAAACTTCCAGTGTTGGAGCATTCACCGCTTCTGGTGGCAAGTTGTTCCACTGGTTAATTGTCCTCACTATCAGGAAGTTTCTCCTTAGTTCCAGGTTGCTTCTCTCCTTGCTCAGTTTCCATCTTATGGATTCCCTTCAGTTGTGCAGGAACGAGCTTGGAACCTTTGAAGGAGGCGCCCTCAAGTTTGAAGAAACCGTAGTTCCATCAGTGGATCTAGCGGCAGAGGAGAAAAATGTTTATTTATCGATTTATATGGCAGGCCAACTCACCGGTGCATCTCTGGGCAGCAGCAGTAGTAGGGAAAAAAAACAACCCCTGATTTTATTGACGTGCCCAGATTTCTCAGAAACTCACAAACGTGTTAGGGGGAGTCAAAAGAGGAGAGCGCAACCGGGGAAGGTGCTTCTGAGCATAGCGGGGGTTTTTTTATTATTATTTTTCAGCCACTCCGTTTCCCCTTGAGCCTCCTGGATTACACGGGTCTTCCCGGGCTCTTGACGTTGATGCCGCGGTTCTGCTTAGCTGGCTGGGTTGATAAAATATTGTCTTCTGGAAAAAAAAACATTTCAAGAGTTCTTGTGGGTGGAATTTTAAAAAGCCTGGGGGAGAGGAGAAATCTTTCCACGTTTAAAGTCTGGGGCCGGGGGGGGGAGGAGGAGGAAGAGGAGGACTGTGGGGTGCTTGGTGCTCTCTCAGCTGGATTGTCTGTGGTTTTCTTGCAGATGTTTCGCTACCCAACTAGGCAACATCATCAGTGAGAGAAGGGAGTGGGGTTTGTGGAGAGGAGGAGGAGGAAGATGAAAAGTAGGAGAGGAAGAGGAGGACAGGAAAAGGAGGAGAGGAAGAGAGGAAGAGAAGGAAAAGGAGAGGAAGAGGAGGAGAGGAAGATGAGATGATGGAAAAGGAGGTGGGGGAAAAGGAGAGGAAGAGAGGGACAGGAAAAGGAGGAGAGGAAGAGGAGGAAAAGGAGGAGAGGAAGATGAGATGGTAGGAAAGGAGGCGGGAGAAAAGGAGAGAAAGAAGAGGACAGGAAAAGGAGGAGAGGAAGAGGAGGAAAAGGCAAGGAAGAGGAGGATAGGAAGATGATGAGATGGTGGGAAAGGATGTCTTTAATTGTATTATGTTTAATGTGTCCTTTGTGTTTTTAAATTGTATATTCAATAAAAATTTTGTATATATATATATATATAAAAAAAGTACGCATAGTCAAGGCCATGGTTTTCCCAGTTGCAATGGATGGCTGTGAAAGTTGGACCATGAGAAAGGCTGAGCACCAAAGAATGGAGGCCTTTGAACGATGGTGCTGGAGAAGACTCCTGCGAGTCCCCTGGACTGCAAGGCGATCCAACCGGTCAGTCCTGGAGGAGATCAACCCCGACTGCTCTTTAGAAGGCCAGATCCTGAAGTGCAAACTCAAGTCCTTTGGCCACCTAAGGAGAAGGAAGGACTCACTGGAGAAGAGCCTAATGCTGGGAAAGATGGAGGGCAAGAGAAGAAGGGGACGACAGAAAATAATGAGGTGGCTGGATGGAGTCCCTGAAGCAGGAGGTGTGAGCTTCAATGGACTCCAGAAGATGGCAGAGGACAGGAAGGCCTGGAGGAAAGTTGTCCATGGGGTCGCGATGGGTCGGACACGACTTCGCAACTAACAACAGCAAAGCCCAAATCACTTCTGCTAAAGCATGCCGGTGTGTTTTTTTTTCAGTTGAAATTATTTGAAAATAACTGACCTCTTCTCTTAATCTTTGGAACATGACCTGGATATCCAAGACTAAAACTAAGGCAGATTTAAAAAACAATAATTTTTAAAAAATTATTTCTCCCTATCTATAAACTGCGGGCACTGGTGAATTAGGTCTTTTGCACAACTAGCGATAACTTGTGCTATACCCTGCTGTTGTTGGCTTGGCTTACAAAAGTATGTGTCCTTGCACACTTGCTAATCCACATCGTAAAAACTCCATTTAGGTACTGAATGTCTCATAAAAAGGCATCCGGTTAGGCAACATAAAACAGTCAACAACATAAAAACAAGGGTGGCTTCGGTAAATTATTAAAGTCACACTGAACAGGAGAAACTCTGTAATTAGCATCCCCGCTAAATACAGCTCAAAATATAAAGTCTGGCTCCATGCTCTCCCTGTTGTAAGACTGAAGGCACCTGATGTACTAACACAACGTAATCGTTTTTTAAACGGTCTTTAAAAATAGTTTCCTATCAGCAGGGCATTCACAATTGCCTTAAAAGCTAACTGCCTTTTCTAGAAGACACTTGGAATACTGCATCCAGTTTTGGTCACCACGATGTAAAAAAGATGCTGAGACTCTAGAAAGAGTGCAGAGAAGAGCAACACAGATGATTAGGGGACCGGAGGATAAAACATACGAAGAATGGTTGCAGGAATTGGGTCTGTCTAGTTAGTAGTTTAAAGAAAAGAAGGACCGGGGTGACATGATAGCAGCCTTCCAATCTCTCAGGGGTTGCCCCAAAGAAGAGGGAGTCAAGCTATTCTCCAAAGCCCCTGAAGGCAGGACAAGAAGCAACGGATGGGAACTAACCAAAGAGAGAAGCAACCTGGAACTAAGGAGAAATTTGCCAACAATTAATCAGTGGAACGACCTGCCTCCAAAAGCGGTGAATGCTCCAACACTGGAAGTTTTTAAGAAGAGACTGGACAGCCATTTGTCTGAAAAAGTATATAGGGTTTCCTGCCTGAGCGGGGGGTTGGACTAGATGACCTCCAAGGTCCCTTCCAACTCTGTTAAACAACAATATCCAACTGGCTTAGGGTGTTAAATATTAACAAGTCCAACTTCTACTCAAGGAGAGAAGCAACCTAGAACTAAGGAGAAATTTCCTGACAGTCAGAACAATTAACCAGTGGAACCACCTGCCTCCAGAAGCTGTGGATGCTCCAACACTGGAGGTTTTTAAGAAGAGACTGGACAGCCATTTGTCTGAAATGATGTAGGGCTTCCTGCCTGAGCAGCGGGTTGGACTAGATGACCTCCAAGGTCCCTCCCCACTCTGTTGTTCTGTTAGTTTGCAGAAAGATGTTTCAGAAACGAGGGATCGTTTTAGGATCCCTTAGCTAGAGCTGGTGGCTGTAATCTTATATCCGCTCCACGAAAATGCTTTTTTTTTTTTTTTAAATGCCTAGGCAGGACTCAATTGCAGCCGGTGACTTCACCACCTCCATGGAGGAGGAAGCTTTATGATTATTATTTTTATTTTTCCAGACTATTTCCATTAAGGGTGAATGTTGCAAAAGCATTAAGCGCTGATGACCTCGCAGGAAGAGGAAATCGCATTTCAAAACTCTGGCTAACCGAATTAAAGCGATCCCATGGGTGGAGGTGGTGAGGTCACCCAGATGTTTTTGCCACGAGATTGAATTCCGGCAAGACGTCAGAGACAAAAACAGAAGCTTGTTTTCAAGGCCGTCCCAGAAACGAAGGGTGGCAGAGCCAGGAAATTTGGGATGCCTGCTGGATGCCTTGCAAAAGAGGATACGTGCAGAGTCAAAGATTTATATGCTCCTCCACTTATAAACCGTTCATTTAGTGACCAGAGTTTATAACGGCCCCGAGAGAAGTAACTTAAGATGGTTTAAAAGTAACTTAACGACCGTTTTTCACACTTAATGACTGTTGCATGGTCAACTTGGCACTTGGCAACTGGTTCGTGTTTACGACCAGTCGCAGCGTCCCAGGATCAGGTGATCCCCTTCTGACAAGCAAAGTCAATAGGGGAAGCCAGATTCGCTTAACAACCGGCTTACTAACTCAGCAAACTGCAGGTATTCAGTTAACAACTGTGGCAAGAACAGTGGCGAAAGGGGGGGCAAAATTCACTTAACAAATATCTCACTTAACAACAGAACCGTTGGGTTCAATCGTGGTCGTAAGCCGAGGGTTACCTGTATTTAAAGCAGTGTTTCTCGTGGTTCAAAATTGTCGTTAGTTTACCAAAGCGTAAAATACAAAAAAATATTAAGAAAAATGGAAATAAAGGTGAAATAAGGGAAGAAAGGGGAAAGAGAGAAAACTGTAGGGTAGGGCAGGGGGTCCCCAACCTATGGGGCACGGGCCGGTACTAGGTTGCGGGCTCTCGGCCAGCGGGTCGGAGAAATGGCTGGCCAGGGTGCATACGCGTGGGCGCACATCCCCCCACTCGCCCTAGCGCCCACAGCCCTGTTTGCACATATACGCAGACGGGAACACTAGAACGGGGGTGTGCGCGCCCCATTTGCGCATGCACGAGTGGGCCACTAGCACGGGTTGCGTGGCCCATTTGCACATGCACGAACGGGCTGGTAGCACGGGGTTTGCGTGGCCCATTTGCGCATGTGTGAACGGGCCACTAGCCACCGCGGGGATGTACGGCCGTCCGTGCATGGCGCCAGCGCATGCCACATGCGCAGCCACAGCCGCTAGTACTGCGCCA